CGTTGACGTTCCTATTTTATTTGGTGGTTTGAGTCATATGGAAAAAGTATGTTATATTATTATTGTCGATCTACATTGCCATGAATATATTCGCTAATCATTGTTTAATTATTTATAAAGAATTCGGAAAAAATTAAGCAAGGCGATGGTGATGCTGATGCCCGTGATAAAGATTTATTGCAGGAAAATTCAAAATTACGAAAGTTACTTTTCGAAGTTCATAATCAAGTTATCTCATTTATAAGCTCTCAAACACAAATGCGTTTTGCATCAATAGATCCGGAGCTGGCCAGTTTAAAAGTATTGTTTTTATATTGACGTTAATCAAGTTAATGATATTTAATCTCTCCTTGATACTAACTCATTGATATTTTATAATATCCAAGACCCCTGAATCGTACAATTCTAGAGCGGCACACACTCAACTTCCATTTGAACTTTTTGCCCAGAATCTAGAGGAAGAAGTTAAAGATCTTTTACTAGCTCTTCAGTTTGAATGGAATAATCGTCCTGTTGGTATTATTGAAGATTTTCAACAAAAAGATGAAGAGAAAGATAAAGAAATTATTCAAAAGAATTTTGAAATTAAACAAAGGGACGATGTGATTAAACAAAATGATTATGTAATTAAACAAAAGGACGGTGAAATTAAACAAAAAGATCATGTGATTAAACAAAAAGACTATGTGATTAAACAAAAGGACGATGAAATTAAGCAAAAAGATTTTGTGATTAAACAAAAGGACGATGAAATTAAGCAAAAAGATTATGTGATTAAACAAAAGGACGATGTGATTAAACAAAGGGACGATGTGATTAAACAAAGGGACGACATGATTAAACCAAAGGACTATGTGATTAAACAAAAGGATGATGAAATTAAACAAAAGAATGTCGAAATTAAACAAAAGAATGACGAAATTAAACAAAAAGACTATGTGATTAAACAAAAGGACGATGAAATTAAACAAAAAGACTATGTGGTTAAACAAAAGGATGATGAAATTAGACAAAAGGACTATGTGATTAAACAAAAGGACGATCAAATTAAACAAAAAGATCATATGATTAAACAAAAGGAGGATCAAATTAAACAAAAAGATTATGCGATTAAACAAAAGGATGATGAAATTAAACAAAAGAATGTCGAAATTAAGCAAAAGAATGCCGAAATTAAGCAAAAGAATGTCGAAATTAAACAAAGGGACGATGGGATTAAACAAAAGGATGCAATAGTTCATCAGCAAGAAGCAAAAATTGGATCACTTGGGAATCAGCTCGGTAGGACATTCTTTGCTTTTACACAAATTATTCACTAGCATGTATATATATATATCGTGATAGTTAACAGATTTGTTAATTATAACAGAGGAAGCTACAGTATTTGCAGAGGAAGCTCAACAATTAATTGTAAGGCTTTCAGTAATGCTCCGAAACGGCCGTCAGGGTAGTTGATCGGGACAGTTCATATCTGACCAGAATTATCTGAATTTTACTATGTCTAATAAAAATAAAAAAGAAATAAATATATACTTTTAATTACAATTAATTTGTGCCATTCTTTAGCGTTTTATAATTTGTACGAGTTTATATATATTATTAATGCTTTAAGATGGTGGCCTCAAATCAATTGTTTAAATAATATTTTATTCCCACCATGAATTTGGACACATGTATGAACGAATAGTATCCGTTCCAAGACTACCTTTTAACATCAATTAAGTCGGCTTCATCAGAAAATACCGTTTGACTGGAATACTAGTTGCACTAATTGCATGATAATCTCTAGACATCATCGGATATTCAGATTTGCGATTCTTTCACCATTTAAGAATATCTTGTTTTCGGTTTGCACGTGGAGCACTCCATTTTGCAGTTCAATTTTTTCTTATTTCCGTAAATATAATCCAAGAGAGAATCATCATTAATAATATCATTTGCCTGATCATAATTGATATCTTCGTGAGAGCATGGTTCATAACTATTCCTATAAATATTAAAAACAGGTTCTTTAATATCTTTAATAAATCTTGATTCCATTTATGTTCCTCATAACCTAGTTTTTAATCGTTATAAATAGCCGTGTTACCCTGATATTGGTTTTTGCATAATGATTTTAACTTATTTAGAATCGCGTTTATTGCAACAGTAATCTCATAAGAGTTGTTGGGATTATTATGATATGATCAATTAAATAATTGTAAATTGGTATAGTGGAAGAGAGCATTGGATACTTTGCGGATGAAATCATATTGGTTGTTCGTATAACCATTTTTAAAATGTTTATGATTTCTTTAACTTTAACCCATTCGTCATTACTAAGCTGTAATAATTTAAGATCGTTATCTAAGCTTGCAGTTGCGTCTAATGCTTCACGAATTTCCAGTGCCCATTCTTACATATCATGAGTGGAATTCCACCTGGTCACAATATCTAAACAAGATTATGATTTGGAAGACTAGCAGCTTTGTACCCGGGTTTTTCTGACCGTTTTGGAACACTAGTTTTCAGAGAATGGCTTTAAAAAAGGATAAGAGGAATTCTGAGTATGCTTAAAATAACTGATGACATTATTATTCACTACTTAATAATAATATATAAACTTATTTTTTATTAATGAAATCACATTATCTAAATATAACGAGGCGGTAAAGGATATCTAATTTAAACGGACACAGCTTAACCAAGAACGGAAACAGTATACAGAACGTGTTGATTCGTTTAGGTCAAGACAGATAAGCTCTACTTGTATGTGTTTCAATGTTTTTATCTTTGCCGTTTATGCTTATTTAATAAAATTTTACAGAATGAGCGAATTGAGTTTGATGCATGGAAGACTTTACGTGCAACTCTAGGGTAATCATCAAACTAATAAAATCAAATAATAGTCAGGGTCACATATAAATTTATTATATGGAGATTTTTTATCGGTTTGTTAATAATTTCGGAAATTTTGAAAATTTAACTTTTACAAACTATTTTCTTTATTTAGTAAACAGCTATTTTCTTATTTAGTGAACAAACTATAAAACAAATTGTTAGCTTCTATTTCTTCAAATGTTATTTGTTGTTTATTATCAGGTTTGTCTAATTTTCTTTTTTTATTCTTTGAATTACTAATTTCTCATCTGATATAGAAATTTTTTTGACTTCTGAAAGGTGAAGTTTTGCTTCTTTAGTTTTGAGATTCATGTTTGTATGACGTTTAAGATCATACTTATTAAACAATCCCTCAACTTGTTGATAAGTAATAATATAATAAATTTGGCATTTGATAAATTTATATAATAATAAAAAAGAATAAATTGATAATTAGTAAAACTTATTAATTTATATAAAAATAATAGATCTTTAATTGTCTGTAACAAACCAAAATCTTTAAATTTTGATTTTTCAATATCAGATTCTAAAAGAATCATTAAATATAATTCTTTAAAATTAGAAATTTAACTTTATTGTCTTTTTAACCTCATATATAAATAATTTCTAGTAAACTCATAACTATATTTACTAATTAATCAATAAACACTTAATAGAAAATAAAGTTATATATTTATCTAAGTTTTTAAAGAATTTATAATTTTTTCAATACCAAGTTTTAAATCATTAAAAAAATATTTAAAATCTTTATTGTTTAAAGTATTAATAGCATTTTGCAACTCTGTATCAAAAAATAAATAAATATTATTACTAATGTTATATAAAACTTTTATTTATTTAATAACTATATCAGGTATTTTATAGGTCTGATAATTAGTAATAGTTGATTATTCAATTTAAGAACTTATAGTTCATTATTAAATCTAATAAAAAAATTCATAATAGGTTTATAAATTTGTTTACCAATTTAATTTTTTTTTCAGTATTAAGATAATCTTTTAGTCAAGTATACTTTATTATATAAAAACAGTTATTATACATATTTGAAGAGTATATCTAGCTATACTTGTATCTTTTAAATATCTATTTAAATAGTCTACCTATTACTAAATTCTATACTAGTTGCTATATCTGCAACCTGATTAGAGATTACCTATTTTAACTCTCTGCATCTATATACTCTAAGGTCTATATTAATTAGTAACTATTCTTCTAGTTTTATAAACTGGTCTTTCTGGCATATATTCATATAATGATTTAGAACTTTAAAATAAATCTTCATCTTCTTATTAATCTACTTCTGGTCTTTTATTCTTAAAATAAACTTGACAAAGTCTATAGTATTCTCATTTTTACTGCTTTTAGCCTGTGCTTTAGTTTGATATATATAAACTATGATATATTACTTGTAGCTCAGGTTTATCTAATCTAGAAGTATGTGTGATATTAGGTTGAGATCTTTGTCTATAGTTTTTTCTTCAGTTTAAAATTTCTTTTACTTCTAACTATATTTTAACCCAGTTTGGTTAAACTTTGTTACTTAAACCTATTTTTGTCTTTATAGAGTTTATCTAAATACTAAAACTTATTTAATAGCATATTTTTAGTATTTTAGTAAACCTGCTCTCTTTATTTAGACTTCCAATTCAAATAGTCTAGTATATATCACTTATTTTCTTTCAATTCGATAGTAGCCTAGTTGTGTTAGCAATTTTATCTATTTGTCTAATAGCAAAGATCCTAACCCTATTATTAGATTTTCAAGCTAGATAGTCTAGTAATTATGTACTTTTTCTTTGTGTTTAAACAGATACTTTCCAAAAGATAACTAGTAGGTCTTTTACTATTATCACAATATATTTACAATTACAAAAACTTTTCAACTAGATTTCTGGTTCTTTTTCTTATTTGCAGTAACCTGGTTGATATAGATACATTCTAATATCCTATCTTTCATCTAGTTTAGTTTATATAGGTTTTGTTTTCTAGGTCTAATCTTTACAGTAGTTTTGTTAAAGATTTGTGCTACTCTCTACTCAAAACTTGCTAAGTAATTTCTATATCTGCAATTCTCCAGATTTATATAGTCTAGAGGTTTATTGTGAGTTTGCACTAACTAATACTGGTTTGATATCTTTATATAATTTATATATTGTATAAATATTCTAGACCTCTCAGTCTTGCTAATATAACTATAGGTATAGGTATTCTATTCCAACTAATTAACCAAATATAGTTAATTATAATATAAACAGAATTTTTGAATTTTTATTACTGGTAGAATTCAACTCTTGACCTGCTACTTGGAAGTAACAACTTGACTACTTTGCTATATTGTCACATTTTGTTTACTAACTTAATAAAACACTTTATTTATATTTTTAAAATTAAATTTACAAGCTATTATTAAAAGAATTTTTACTTTTTTAAATATTTTTAAACTCTCTAGTTGGATTATAAATATAGTATCTAGTGTAGATTCTATAGTGTATAGTTATTGATATGTGAACTGCTTAAATAAGCAATCAAAGTTGTATATATGACTAGTTGTACTTTTCAAAAATATATATAGTATAGTGTATATCATATTGTAAAAGTTAATCAATAATCAAATAAAAGAAATACAACCAAAAGGTTACTTTAATACTAAAAAAAAATATATATATATTTTGATATTTTTTGTTTTTTTTTGATAATTTGGCAATCTGCCTCTATTTATTTGAGATTAAAACTATTCAAAAAATTACATGAATTTCTATCTATAGCTATCCTAATCTAACTAAACAAAAAGCTCACCAAGCCTAAGCTCAATACAATCTGCTTCAATAGCTATTGGCCTCTTTTGGGGTCTTTAACTTGCTAAGAACTTTTTCTATTCAGTCATCAGCTGGCAGCTACGTGCCTTGTCAGTACTGCCTTATTTTGAAGAATTCACACTCACTTTGCATCTTGTTAAAGATGACCAAGTTGGTTTTGATCTGTACTATACCAGATTCTTGATGTTTCTGAATGCTAGTCTTTTGTGTTTTTCTTTTTTTTTCCCTTTTGGGTCCGAGATATTTTCTTTATCTGCTTGGCTTCTTCTTGCTTCTCTTTTCTTTTTAATCCTTTTGTCTTTCTTTGCGATTTCTTCTTTCTTTTCCTATTCGTTTTGTAACTCACACCTAAGATTCCATATATGCTAGCAGAATCTTTCTCTAAACTTGTTTAGTACTTTGCCTATCACCTTTCTTGCTGTGACTTTTCCTTGTACTAGGCTCTCAATGTTTGTTCTTCTTTTGTCTTGTATTAGGCCTCTTATCATATAATTTCTTGTCTCTAGTCTTTCTGGACCTTCTGCGCTGAAGATGCTTCTTTTGACTTTGTTCTTTTCTAGGTCTAGGCCTATGTCATTTTCTTTTCTAAATGCTTTGATTGCATCTTTGGTAATCTTCTTTTCTATTATATTTCAAACTCTTTGGAATTCTTTACAGCTTGCTAGATGATTTATCATTTCAGGTTCCATATAGCAAATTGTTTTTAATTCTGATATTGTTGGCAGTAAACCGTTAAGGCATTTAACTCTAAAAATATATCTACTATTATTTTTACTATCTAAACAATTGTTACTCTTCATGCCTTCTATATATCTTCATATTTCTCTCCAATCTATCCCTTTCTTTTTCTTCATTTCTACCCAAGTTTCTATTCTCTTTAGACCTGCTTATTCTGTATCTAGTATTGATATCGTGACTTGATTTACGAACTTTTATATTGGGCTGTCTATCATCATTCTATTCCAGCTTGGTACTACTTGCATATGTTCATTCCAGAGAGCTTGAACTTCTATAAACTTATTTGCTATAGTCTCTTCTTTTGCTAATCTATCTGCTTCTTTGTTTTCTTCTACTTCGCTATGGCCTTTTACCTTATGTATCTTTAATCTGATTTTCTTGATTTTTTCATTCTTTCGATTTGCCATAATAGACTTCTATTCTTGAACTTTAGATAGCTTCTCATTTTGTTTAATTCTTCTATGCTTTTGATCACTTAAATTGCTACTTGGCTATCTGTATTTACTTGTAGATTTGCTTCTTCTGGAACCACCAATAAGACTATTAAAATCATACCAAGTTCAGTTCTTGTTGATAATAGCCATCCTATCATTGCATATTTGAACTGTGCTTCTGTCTTAGTTCTTTCTTCTGCTCTTGTAGACAGTATCTATCCTATCCCTATTTGTGTTTTTTTCAGGGTTCTCTCTTAGTTCTGTTAATGACCTGTCTGTATAGGCTATGAATTTCTTGTTTCTTGTGACCTTTTTCGCTATCTTCTTGAGCTCCTCAATAGCTACTTCTTCTTTTATATATCTGTGAATAATTTCTTCACCTAAGGGTCTTATGTTGATTGTGATTCTTTGTTGATTACTTCTAGCTTTCCACTCTTCTTGCACTATTGTCTCCATTTTGCCAGTTATATTTTTCCATGGTACCATTGTTTCAGCTTCTATTTGTCCGTTTACTTTGATCCTCTTTACCAAATGCTTGTCTATTACCCTTTTGGTTTCTTTAAATTGTTTCTTGATGACGTATATTTTTTTTTTAGCATCATTATACTATCTCTGCATCCTTCACAAGGTTTTATAACTGCTTTTCCTTTCTCTAGGTAATCTTGCTTGCACCAATGTTCTATTTCGAATCTCTTGTTGCCGTGTTTGTGAGTTATTCTACCTATCTCTGCTTTTTCATTTCTTTTATCGAACATTATCCACTTTTTTTGTCTTTTGTCATTGCTAATATCCTTAAGTTTTACCTGGATAAAGCTGCAGTTTTCTGGACCTCTTTTGAAGTCTTTTTTAACCTTTCTGTTTATTTCGTCTTTAATAACTAGTTTTTTTTATCTCTTGAAACCACCTTGCCTTCTTGCTTCTTGTACTGCAGTTTCTTAGCTTCTTTATTTGATTCCAAGTGAGCAATGATTCTCTTTTGCTGTTTAGTATTTGTTCGAGTATGAAAATATTCATTGCTTTTTCTTGTCTGAAGCTTGGTCTATACTTCTTTTCAAGTAGATTTATAATCTCGGTCCCTTCTTTATAAAGCTGCAGTTCTTCCTCTAATTCTATTGATCTAATATTTATTTTAAGCTTTTTCGCTTCTTTAATGATTCTGAAGCACAGATTGTTTCTAATATTAATCTGTTCTAGCTTTTGTATATTAAGGCCTAATATACATTTGCTATTTTTTAGATTTAGTTGGGCCTGTTTCAGTCTTATCCATGTTGTTTTTCCTATCTCCTGTTTGTTGTTAAGTCTTGCTATGAGTTCTGTAACATGGTACGCAATCTGGTTCTGCTATATAGTTTTGATACCAACTATATTCTTATATACTATTGCTGCATTTGGTATTGTGTATGTTATTCGTGTCTTGTTCTTGATCAACATGAAGAGTGGGCTTTGTAGTTTATCACATATTTCTTTTGGCAATATGTGTTGTTGTGCTCTGTACTCTACCCTTGGTATTAGTACTCTGTTGTTAATATACTGCATGTATACTAGTGAAATTTTCTTCTTCTTGAGGCCTTTAACTACCATCTGTACTTCTTTCTTTATGATTTCTTCTATATATTTCTGTTTGGCCTTCTCTAATATCTATATTCCCAGATATCTTGTCAATTCTTCTGTTTTTTTCCTTGGAACTGTTTTCTCTTTTAGGCTGAATGTTATACCTCTCTCTGCATCTACCTTGTCTTTGGGGTATATTATTAACAATTCTGATTTCTTTATATTAATTTCGATATCATTAATTTTGAAGAAATCCTTTGCTATATTTGTGATTTTCTTCATTTCTTCTCGGCTTCTTGCTATATACATCGTATTGTCTGCGTATGCTAGT